CCCATCTCCTGCTGGGCGGGGCGGGGGGAGGGGAGGCTGGCGGCGCGCGGTCGGGGGAGGGGGAACCCCGGAAGTCCCGGGAGCCAGGCCTAGGGACCCCGGCGGGCCGCCGAACTCTCGGAGCTGGCTTTGGCTGGGAGCTGGAAGGGAAACCCGGGGAACCCGCCGGCCACTTGGAGAGCAAGGGCGCGGCGAGCGGATCAGCACCGCGGACAGCGCCCAGGCCGCCAGGCCGCGATCCGCTCCGCCCCTCCGCCCACCCCCTGGTGTAGGAACAACAGACAGTGCCCCCACTGGCCCAGGGAAGGGTTGGGGTGGAGGGCGAGCTGACCAGGGGTCAGGAAACCTACCCTGTGCCTAGATGGTAGCAAAGCTGCCCCAGACTTCTCTCTAGCTGTGTGACCTTGTGTGAGTCACATCACCTCTCTGGGCTCCAGTTGATAAGACACCCTCTTTCCCTCTATGTGAGGGTCCCAAGAGCCAAGAGACAATCCCTTATAAACTCTAAAGTCCAGGACATTGGTGTCGATCCGTTTTCACTGCCCGTGAGAGGCTTCTGGAGCAGGCCTGCTTAGCTTCTAATTCTGGCTCTACCCATACCTTCCTCTTCCCTGGGCCTCAGTCTCATCTGTAAAATGGGACAAGGATGGTCCATGCAGCTCATAAGATCTTTGGGTTTTTGTGAAGATTGAATGAATTAACACAGGTAAAGTGCTTAAAACAGTGCTGAGTGCTCATTAGGCATTCATGCTCATGATGACAAGGGACCAGGTGGCGTTGTGTGAGTGGCAGGTGTCTCAGAGCCCTGGGCAAGTCATTTCCATCCCTGCCTTCAGGGACCAGAGGAAGGGACTGAGGGGATTCAGACTAAAGGGCTGGTCTGGCTTTTCCCACTCCATTGCCAGCCAAATTCTCACTGCTCTGCCCCCTGGGCCAACTGTCCAGAGAGGTCCTCTGCCTTTGTTTCCAGAACTGGGAGACCCGGCATGAGGGCCTGGGGGAGTGTCCCTGCAGCCCACTGACCTCAAGGGCTCCCTGCCTTCTCCCTATGGATTCCTTTCCTCCCTACCCTCCCCAGTCATCTTTTAAGCCTTAACTGGTCTTGGGTGTTGTTGGGGGGAAGAGGGAGAATCTCCCTCTGCCCTTTTCCTTAAGGTTCTTATGGCTGGCCAAATAATTAATAAGACAGGTTAGCAGGAGAAAATAATAC